TGCATAACATGTTTATCATGACGGTGAAACATTGGCGAGTCAATTGGAAACACCACTGGTAATATGGCCGGCTACATTCGTTATTCGCATACGCAAAATTGCGTCAAAATTTTCTGTTGATTTGTGTCTGACATATCCATTAATACTGCGAAAAAATTCAGAATGAGTTTCCTTGACCAAAAATAAGAAAGAAAGTTCCTATTGTAGTAACCTGATTCAAATATTTAAAAAATCCCGCGTGATTCGGATAAGAAGAAGAGGAGATCTGGAGATCTTAGGCTTATGGTTAGTTGGTTAGAAAAAAAGAGAGGTTAGATATTATTTATGTGTGAAAAGAAGCGTTGTGCAGATTTATGTATTTATGGACAAATAAAGTTTTAAATAAAAATATCGCGTGCCTGCCTAACATACCCACCCAGCTAGAGCTCCCTACACTATAAACCTATGTCCGAAAATGCTTCGTTTCGGAGATACAGGGTGTCGAAATTTAGAAAAAATACAAGGTTTTTACTAATAAGGTGTCGATAAAGTTTCGTCCTAATCGGAGGCGTACCTCGTAATAAGGTCGTTACAACTTGTTTAGTATTATCTTCAAATGATTTGCCTAAAACATTTAACACATTGGTATATCGTCTTTTTCTTTTTACTCTTAACGCTTTTGTTCAAAAAAAGTACAAACTGTTTTATTTCGAATTTACCAGGGTTTGCATATTGTATCGATATTTGTGGCGTAAAGACAAAATATAGGTACAATCGATTCTACACAACTGAACAAATCCACAATTCCAGCTTATGATTTGTTAGTGGACTTTTTACAGTTATATAATTTTTATTATTATCTCCTCTACTTTCAGAAAAACGTTAGAATTAATTTGATTTAACTTAACCTCAACCTTTAAAGTAAGGGAAAAATAGCTTTTAATTGCGGTTAAATCCAATATATTTTTAGATTTACAGTTGAGCAACTAGCTACGACTATTGAACATTGTTAGATAATTAAATTAAACGGGTAGTTAATAGTATATTACATTATAAGACCGTTATATTCTTATATCTCTTCTGAAAGAGATGAGAGAATAAATTAATAAATTTTGTTAATTTTTATTACGATTGTATAAGTGAAAATTTGGTATTTTTTTTAATTATTATTATTTATTTATGTTAATTAATTAATAATAAAATAATTAATATTTTTTTAATATGCAAGCATATACAAGGTGTATTTAAATAATACCGATAAAATGAAAATGGCGATTCTCTGATGAAAATTAATCTTTGGTTTCGATGTAAAATTTTTTGAAAAAAACCCTGAAGAATTACTCCCTCCAAAAATTTCAAAAAAAATTGTTTTTCTTTTTTACCTTCCATGTATATCAAGATAAAGAAACCAAACTTGGTAAACATTACCTGTCAAAAAAAACTACATTTTTTAAATTTTTTTCAACCCTCAAGTATTTTTGTAGGGAGTTTAAATAACAGGCCACTAGATTTTTCGGCAAAATCCACTCGGTTAAACAGCTCATCTTTTTAAAAATGAATTGCATTGCACTGCAATATTTTTTTTTCTCATAAATCCTTAACTTTTCGAAAAAAGTTTAAGAGATCAAAAGTTAGTAACTGAATGGGCATATTTTTTGTATGTTCTTTATGTCATAGGGGTTGATTATTTCAACCCCTTATAAAAATACTTTAGGGTTGAAAAAATTACAGTTTAGTTATTTTGACAGATAATGTTCACCAAGTTTGGTTTCTTTAGCTTAATATACATGCAAGATAAAAAAGAAAAACAATTTTTTTTAAAATTTGTTGGAGGGGCGTAACTTTTCAAGGGAGAGTTTCTTCAAACGTTTTATACCAAAGACCACTATTAATTATCAACAGAGAAACGCCTCTAAAATTTTTTCGGTGTTGTTTAGATACACCCTGTATATCTTCTGATTTTTTATTTTTAGCGAACAATTAATATTAGAATATTTTTATTTAATATCTTTTTCATTTGATGTGATTTGTTTTTAATTATTGCTGGCTTACCAACTTAGCGACGTAATAAAACTTAGCAGAGCTGCTAATGCAAAAGTAATGAAAAATCCTAAATCTGAGTAGTTTAATAAGAAACATTATCATCCCTCCACTTTAATATAATTTTTGACGAACTCCAATGCAACAAATAAACAAAATGCGTGCTACTTATTGAGTTTATTCTGCATTTTAATTGTTGCCTTTTGGTCAGTAAACAAAAGACAAGATAAGAGGCTAATTATTATTTTACAGTGTCACATTTGGATGAGTGATTCATTCAGTTCAAATTATTTATTTAAACTCTGATTTAGAAACATATTTTTTTACCCACCAGGATCTCCTATTTTCTTGGAAATCTCTTGACATGCTTTCTCTTTCGTATTTGTCCGGCAATAACTGCTCAATGTGAAGTCATAAAGACAATGATGCGGCTAAACTATTCATCCAAATAAAAGAATCTGATTTAGAAACATATCTACCAGGATATTGTGTTTTCTTGGAAATTTCTTGTTATTCCTTCTTTTTTATATTTATCCGGATAGAACTGCCCAATGTGAAATCATAAAGAAACAATGCGACATTAACGAAATTTTTATTTTTTCGTTAGCCATAAAAGTAAATATTCTTCCAATAGAATGTCTAGACTGTAATAAGAAGCTTTCTCGTGTATCCAGAAATAGTTACATAGTCAATGTCGTTTCGGTACAGAATTAAACATGCATTAAGTTGCTGCTTATACTTTTCACTGGTCTTTCTTAGGTTTGATGCGGTCGAAGTCGCGTTGACCGCAGTGAGGACACATTACCTATACATCTGCATAACATGTTTATCATGACGATGAAACATTGGCGAGTCAATTGGAAACACCACTGGTAATATATATGGCCGACTACATTCGTTATTCGCATACGCAAAATTACGTTAAAATTTTCTGTTGATTTGTGTCTGAAAATTCAGGGGGAGTTTCCTTGACCAAAAATAAGAAAGAAAGTTCCTATAAACCTATGTCCGAAAATGCTTCGTTTCGGAGATATAGGGTGTCAAAATTTAGAGAAATTACAAGATTTTTACTAAAATATGGAGAACTCTAATTCCAATTTTTTTGAAATTTGGTATGTTTGTTTATAAAAATGGTAGACGTCTTCTGACGTAATTTGATTTATTTTATCTATTCCAGCGGCGTCCGGGGACTCAGTCCTGTTGATATTAATAAGTAAACATATGAGATGTCACTGCTTTTTCTTAGGTGTCATAAGTTTTTCTAATTATGCGATAAAAAATACAACTTTTTTGTCTCTTTACTTTTTTTAATATCTTGCTTCGTTTTCGAGCAAAAAATTAATAGCTTAAGTGTGTGATTTTAATAAGTACTTGAACTGTGTAGTTGTCAATTTCTGCTTGTCGAAATGAATTACACAAATAGTGAAATGTGCGATAAGCATTTTCTTTATTGTCTTTCCAATGGTAATGCATTAGCCGCCAGGCGCCTCTATGAGCAGAAATACTCTAATCGTATAATTCCTCATCATATTATCTTCACCCGTCTTCATCAACGTCTTGGTGAAACTGGAAGTTTTCGAAAACATACCGCAGAAAACGGGCGACTCCGTACAGCAGTAACCCTACAATTGGAGGAAGATGTACTTCTTGAAATTGAGGACA